AGATCCTCTCCAAAAGTGCTGGAAGTGACAGGTCATGATTTTTGGCTAGCGAGGTACTAATAAGTTTTTTTTCCAAATTTTAATATGAGTTGAATTGAGCAATAATACTGTTAACAGGCTATGGAATTTACATAGAGAAGAATAAAATTTAAATTGCACTAAATATTTGACTGGCAAAGATATGAGTCATATATTTTTTTTTCCTTTTTGCAGAATTTCAATTTAAATGTTACTTTTCTGCCTAGATTTTCTCTAAATGGATGTACATATTCAAGCAAACCCGTTAGGAGAACAAATTCCAGAACTGCTGTTTAGTGTCAGATCTGACAAGTACTAGTCACATACTGGAAAAGCCAAAGTCTACTGTTAGTCTCTATGACTATTTCCTATTCTCTTTATTTATAAACGTCACCAGGCTTGCAATCAAGTTAGAGAAGTGGATGTAAGTGAAGTACATGGTCACTTTCAAACTAACGGTGACTTCATTTTAATAAGCAACCATCGAAGGGACAAGGCCTAGGAGTTAACTCTGGACTCCTCTGATAATTCAGGTATTCTAAATAAAGTGTCAGCTTCTTAGCAAGGAAGGGAATGGCTCTCTCCCAATATAAACAAGAAGTGCTTGTTTCGCTGCTGCTGATTTACATGAGAAATCAGGCTTCTGACTTCCTTATATCTGGTTGATTAAATTTAAAGTTTATAGCAAGCGGTAATTACCGGAATGTCACCTAGGCATAAGCTGCTTCATCCCTGCGCCGGATAAGGCTGCATCAGTGAAAATAGGTAGCTATTGTTTTTCAATAGATGGTATACATCCGCCTCCAATCATCTGAACAGTCACAATTCACGAACTTCTGGATGACGTCCAAACTCTTCAAGCACATCTGCTCCATGCACCAGCAAAACGTACAGCAGCTAGTGCAGCACAATTCAACACAACAATTTAAATATTTTATATAATTAATGATATGTAATTAAACTTAATGTAATTACATTTGGGCTCTCTGAGGTACCTATTTTACAATTAGTGTTTCATCAACAAATAGCTTTTCTGAGGCACAGCACAGCTCTGCCTATAGTAGCAATCCATACCCAGAAGTCCATTCTACAGTCATATCTCAATGGGGCCAATAAAACTGCCTACTGGCCAGCTTTCTTACACACAGGAATTTGATGAGGTGGTGGTGGGAGTAGGGGCTCGTGTGCCTCAACCCCACCTGTTAATGGAGCTCCTGTCAAGTATGCATGCTATAGTTGATACTGAATGCAGGTTTGTCTCTCTGCCACGCAAAAGCCAATACTTAGGAAATAGAGTCTGATGAAAAGAAAGTGGGTTTATTCAAGAGCCAGCAGCCTGAGAAGATGGGGGACTCTAGTCTCATATTGTTATGGTTATAATAGCAAAAGATAGAATTGCTAGAATTTTTGTTTTGCAACATTTGGACCATAGAACATAGGTATGGGGCATGTATAGGATTTTAAAAAATATCCTCTCCCCAGAGGTGCTAGAGTGCAAAAGAATTGGAGTGAATAGGCTCCTTCTCTTACATGGAGGGCTCACGTGTGTAGCTGTCTAGACTAGCTCTCCAGACTGTCTTTTGAGACCCACGACACCTCTACAGAAGTGACCACAGTCAACTCTTACCGATTCTTCTCTTATTTCTTGATTTTTTATTTAAGATATTATTTGATGGCATTCTACCCAAAACAGTAACAATATAGTTGTAGTTGTTTTAACGTTGCCTCCCCCCATCCAAAACATAATTGTGGTACTTTCTCTCAGTATAGATGTACACAATTATATGTATGTTTATTAATACATTAATATGGCATGTCCACTGTAGAGTCCCAATGATTAAATATCCTTTCTTGAACAAGTTTTTATTTTACCTAGGGTTAATGTATTTTTTTGTTTGCCTAATTAACCCCCAACTCTCCTATATAACTATAACCTTTTCCCAATGGAGGTGAACATATCAGGATTCATTTAGGGGTGCTGCTACTGCCCCATGCCACTCAGTTGTCATCTGGAAGTTCCCCCTCTAGCATCATCCTGAGCATTTTCTTTGCACCTTTCCTGCACAGGACCCTCTCTCCTGGACCCCGAGGCTTCGTTGTTCTTGGTTCTTTTTTTTTTTTTTTACACATTAATACAACCAGTCATATAAATCTAAATATAAGCCAATCTCCTACAGGTTTTGAGATGGCACTCACCACCTCTGTGAGAAGTTTAACACTACAAATCAAGTCCCACCATATTGTTAGACGGGAGGACAGTGATAGCGCTTGCTTAACCAAAGTTACCATCAAAGCTCAAAAAGCTGACCATATTCACTTAACCACAAGCCAATTTTATTTAAATCAGGACAGCCCAAAAGAAATGCTCTATTAGCCATTCATGATCTGAATTCTGGTTATGAGATCAATTTAAAAAATGGTACACATTAAAAAAATTATGGGACATGTGTAATAAATAAGGCAGTGGCCAACTATACTCATTAGTAGCTTTTTTGAGATAAGCTATCAAGTCTGCCCTCTCTGCACTCTTCTTAATGCCAGCGAAGATCATTTTTGTTCCAGGGATGTACTTCTTGGGATTCTCCAAATACTCCATCAGGGTAGCCTCTCCCCAGGTGATACCTTTGTTCTTGTTGGCATCCGTGTAAGAAAATCCAGGGGCCTGACCTGTCTTTTGCCCAAAGAGACCATGGAGATTTGGCCCAGTCTTGTGCTTGCCTCCCTTTTCCACAGTATGGCACTGGGCACACTTCTGAACAAAAATCTTCTTGCCCTTCTCAACATCACCCATTTTTAAATCGCTCGTTAGTCGCGCGCGACACGGAGATGCCCACTCGCAAGCCGGACGTCCCGCTCTCTGTGTTCTTGGTTCTTTCCCAGTTTGGTAGAGTCACATTCTCATCTAGCTTCCGGTGAAGGACTGCCTAGGAGGTTTTTCAAGACCTTAATGCTAGAAAAGACTTTACACTTGGATTCTGGTTGCACACACAATGCTACTTTGAAAGTCATTTCTGCCAATACATTGAACACATCCCTTCATTCTCTTTGTTTTATCAGTGTTGCTATGGAGAAGTTTGAGTCCACTATGATTCCTTATTCTTTGCATGTGAACTTTGTCCACCACTCCCCTTTCTGGATATGTTTTTCTTGAGGTACTTATCTCTAAAGTTCAGAAATGTCATCACTATGTCCCTTGGGGGGAGTCTTTTTCTTTTATAGTGCCAGCACTTGACATGCCCTTTCAAACTGGATATTCATGTCCTTGAAAGATTTTAATGCTCATGTTCTCCCTCTCTGCTTTTTTACTTTTTCTGTCAGAAATTGCTCTTATTCAGATGTTGACTCTCCGAGAGCAGCATTTCTCAAGTCCATGGGCTTGCAGCAACTGCCTCACCTGAGACGTTGTTAGAAACGTGCATTCTCAGGTCAGAATCAGAAACCCCAGGGGTGAGCCCAGCAATCTGTGCATCAACAGCCTTCCAGGTGAGTCCGATGCAAGTCAAGTTACAGAATCACTGTCGTAGACTGATCTTCTAATTTGCTTGCTCCTACCTTTTTTTCTTATCTATTTTTCTTCAACATTATCCTCTACTCCTTTTATTGTTTTTTTTCCCTTCTATCAGGAATACCCAATTTTAATTTTTGAGCACTTTTTCTTATTCTTTGAAAAGCTGTCCCTCTTATTTTATAACTTTCTGTTCTTCCTTTATGGTTGTTTCATAGTTTCCTCTCTCTCTCAGCTGGCCTGGTAGCAGTGGGCTGGGGAGGAAGGGCATTGGTCTCCAGCAAGAGACACATTCATTTTGATGGGGAAGTGGAGCCCTGGGCAACTTGATTGTCATGGGTGCCAACAAGTCTGTGAAAATAATGTCTTCCCAATGGTCAAAGGAGCATGTCTTATTCCCTTAGCTTGAGCGCTCGCCAATCCACACAAACATAAATCTGAAATGCGCCAGCTAAGAAAGCCTAGGAAATACTAAATACTAAAAGTTTTCTCCTTTAATATGTGGCTGTAGTCACAGCTCTGCCATCTTGACCCCAGGGATGACACTCAGATTCATTTTAGTCTCTCTTTGTTTGACTCCCAGGTACTGTGAACCTGAGCCAGAGAAATGCAGCCACATGGGTGACCTGATAGTCAAAAGCAGTCGTGTTGCCTCCCAGAAACAGGCAATTAGATAGTGTATCTGCTTTATGTTCCTGTCCTGGTTGTGTGGACTTGAATTGATTATCACTTGGTCTCTGCATGGATTCTCCCTTTCACAACATTCAATTGCAGGAAAAGGAGGAGAGGGGGTGGGAGAGAAGCATGCACACTAGAGCAGTAGATTCACGGGAATTCCTTTTGCTGCCAGGACAATATGGATTAACTCAGCAATAGTGGGAAGAGATGAGGCAAAATAATTGACAAGACCATCCTTCACTTCTACATTTAAACACAAGCCCACTAACATATCTAATGATCAAGTAAATGCGTGGCATGATATAGGAGAAAGAACACTGAGGCAGGCTCTATGGAACCAAGTCCCATTTTCTTCTGCCGTGGACTGACTGGCCAAGACTTAGAAGGCGAGAGATCGTCAGGATCATTTTCAAGTTCTAATTCATCCTGAAATGGTTAGACTCGGGCAAATCCCTTAGTGTGTGGATTTTCGTGGTCTTACCTATAAAATGGGGATGACAGCCTACAAAATACCCGATAAATTCTTCATGTGATTTTCATAATCCATATATTGATATTCCTTAGTATGCATCTCTGATCACTGCTTATGCTGACAGGGATGCAGGGGTATTGTTGCAAGCTTTGGGGTCCCCTCTCCCATCCATGCTTTTATTTTTTAACTATAATTTAACTTTAAAATTTTATTCTAAAACAAGAAGTATATTGGGTTCAGTGGTTCAAAAGCATTTGTGGAGCGTTAGTGACGATGTAAGTGAAACATAATTGGGAAGCAAAATTATTTAATGCATACCACAGTTCGGGGCGCATGTTCAACAGGCACACTTGTCTTGGCCTGGCTCATTTGCTCCCTGACTATATGAGCTCTTATCAGGATGACTTTCTAGATTAAAAATTTAAATAGCTTCAGTCAGTGAAGCATTGCACAACACAAATAAAAAGAGGTGCATTCGAGAATACAAGTGAGCTTAGACACCACTGGGCTATGAGATTCAGCTCGCAGGCTGGACCTAGGACAGGCCATCAGCAGCTTCCTCCAGGCAATGACACAGTTGGGGTACTTGCCCCCATTTCTATCCTTTGCGTGGAGTCCTGGGGATTACATGGTATTTGCATTATCATTCACTCCACCAGTGAGATATTTATCTCTAAACCATCAACATCAATTCGTTAACTTGTAGCTGCTCCATGGACAAATCTACTAGTAGTAGCTGACTGTGGTCTGGACACTTTACTGAGTTTCATTGTCCTGGCCTTACCTTCTGACCTGGTGGCAGCGAAAGGCAGATGAAACTGCTCTGGCAGTGGTAACATGCTGGGACATTTGTTGAGAGTGAATGATGGCCACAGGCTAAAAAGTACCATCTCAGAGAACTTTCTCTAGTCTAGAGATTATTATCAAGGTACTTTTTAAAATTTTCCAGCAGGCACTCACTTTTGCAGGGCAAGTAATGAATTCTATTGAATAACAAATGCTGATTTAACCTCCATAGGGATCAAAGGTCGCTGGTAAAGACAATTAGAAGGAGAGTCATTTTCCAGTATAGAAACTGGTCTTGGATATTCAAATACCACCTGAAATATACCCTGAAGCAATAATTAGCCTCATCCAGAATGGGTGAGCCAGGTAACCTTTTCACCTTTCATGCCCAGTTACTATAAAGAAAACACTTGTTAAAAAAAGCAAAAAAGTCTACTTCTCACCAACTGGAATCCACTTACTTGACGATGTATGGCACTGAAGTGATGAGAGGTGCCCCTTTCAACCTTACCGTGCTTCTCGGATTAATTAGGAATCAGCATATTGTAATCATGACAGTGTCTAACTAGAAGATGAAGAGAAGATCCCTTTTAAGTTCTGGGTCGCTGACACAAACGGAAAGCATTTAACCTCTAGATGTGATCACTCAGGCTTCTAAATAAGAGATGTTAAATGGGGTCCATAATGTGCCTGGGGTTATGTAGATAAAAGGCTGCATGTAACGATGGAAGAGCTGGTATAAGAGTGTGATGATCTGATCATCTATTCAAAAGTATAAGCCAAAGCGGCTTTTCATGAACTGGAGCCCTTTTGAGAATTAATCACAACTGAAATGCAAACTCTGAAGAGGAACCTGGTCGCCTTTTCTGCCCACGAGCGAGGCGGGGCGGCTGGCTGGGAGAACGATCATCTGAATGAACATTCCCACCTCCCCCATAAGTTGGGCGAGTGACACTAAGAATACTCAGCTTACTTTCCTTTGTGACGGATAACTCGAAATCACACTAATCACACCCTGAACATAAAAAAGTACATGGCGAGTGGCTGCTCCTCCTTAGAACACAACTAAGAGAGAGAAATAGATCCCTGTTTTAATTGGCTGAAACCTGAAGCTAGAGCTTCCTCCAGTCAATCAAATATATGGAATTACAGGATGCTAATGCTGCAAATGTGATGATTAATTGGTTCTTTCATCATTTCTCACTGTAAGAACGGAGATCTAGACAGGTTAAGGGATATGAAAGGGATTTGAGCTGGTACAATGCAGTTCATCACACACAATAATTATGAGCCTGGAACGTGTTCAGCAATAAGAAAGAAGAAGACACAGTGCCTGCTCGTACGGTGGTCACTATCCCACGGAGAAATTCAGGTACAAATATAGAATTCAATGCAGGCCCTCCCTCCAAGACGGGAGAATGACACGCATCTCTTGGTTTATCAGTGGCGGTTCCATCTGCCCAGCTGTCTGTAACACACTGACGTGGCCCCAAGTGGATCAGATCTGTCTGAGGCAAGACAGGCAGACTGCAGTGAACAAAAACTTCCTATCACTTCAGGCACAGCGCAGGCGTCCATGAAGAATGCTGGAGCCCTGCCGATGAAAAGAAAATCCCGACTATGAACATCAGACCTGATCACCTGCACTGAGGAAGCGCTGGCCCCTGCTGAGGGGCCTTCTGCACACCCTTTCTAGCTTAGAGCTCCAGGAAACGCGTCCGGCCCATGCTGAAATGGAGCTGCCACCACCTGGCACAGCCCAGCATCATAACTTCCAGGGCAATCCTGGGACCAAAGAAGCCAGGAGGAGGAGGGACACAGCCAATAGGAGCATTTGTGCAGCCTGGAAAATTGCACTTGGCACTCACTTCACACGCACTGAGGGGCACCGCAGAGAGAGTATAGCTCAGTGACTCAAGCGCTGGCTCAGAGAACAGCTCAGTTTTCGTCTCAGCATGGACTCATCTTCTGCTCAGTACTGGGTCACTCACGGTGTTCCCCACACCAGTCCCTCCATCAGCACATAGG